TTAGGAAGAAAAGATGTATAATAAGGTTATTGCAGGATACCGCAAAGTATGCACTCAGACAGTACGCGGTCACATCAACCTCCTCTGCATGCCGGCCGATACTCTGGCTGTACTCTCTTCATACATACTTTAGCGGTATCCTATATAAGTGTCTATTTACACTACATATATACTCTGTAATTCAATGTTAAAGTAACACCAATGACTTATTGTTTGGCGTAAAAACATTACCGGTATGTCTTGGTGCTTTAATGCCAGTTACAGGCACATCTATTCAGGAATCATCTTTTCACTAAACAATTAAACATGTCATTTTAGTTGTACACACCTTTACAGACTCTAGTAAGTTTTCGTGTTGTAATGCTAAATGTTTCATGGCTTCTTTATTTTCATACTTGGCTGTCTGTTGTTCCATTTGCACTCTTTCAAACCTAAAATTTATAACGTATATAATTGTATTGAGTCATGTGAATGACATAAAATTTGTGTTATAATTTGAAGATAGACAGCAATAAATGAACTCATTGTAAGCGTCAATATCATGCTATACAACAAACATTTGATTTGAAAAACTGTGGTAACCTGTGTAAATTTAGCATAGCTGGTTGTGAAATGACTTCAAACAAGTGTAAATATCAAACAGGAAGTTGCATGTACCTAAAAATCTCAAATGGTCTACTGAATTGGCTTTAATAGCAGCACATACATTCACATGTTTCAACAGGGGACCTGTTAATGATTTAGTATTCAACACATGTCACTTTTGGTTTATATGCACTTCTATTGGAGATGTGCTTCTAATAGAGATAATACAGTACTATTGCAGATTTGTTGTCATTTCATCCATTCTTTAGACATAAATATCAGCATTTTTTTTTATCAGAATAGTATTATTTTTTCAACTATACGTAAAACTTGATATTTTACATAGGATGCATAATTCAGTTTAGCAAGATAAAATGTTATAGAAGCTTATTACCTTTCTCTCCACATGTTGTCTTTTCTTTGACTATCTTGCACCACATCACTGTGTCTGTCTGATAATCTAGCATGCTCCTCATGTAGCAGTTCCAACTCAGATGACGTAGATGACAAAGTATTACTATCAAAAAGAAATGTCAACAATTCATTATACAATCCAGACAAACAACTTTACAATTGATAGACATAGAGTATCAATTTCTGACTCATCAATAAATTCACTCACGTTACTTCTTGAAGTTTATATTTCAATTGATCAATGACTTTTTCAAGTTTTTCTTTTTCCTGTTTGTCAGCTTCAGCATTAGCCTGTGAATTTCCTTTCTTCTGTGATTTCAGTACACTATGTACCCGTACCTAAACACAGGAAATAACAGACGTATTATTCATGACACAGGCAAACAAAAAGATGTACTGTTTATACCAATAATAATGTTGGAAGCATCTCTGGTATTACTAGTACCTTGTAACTTTCATAATCAGCTTGGCAAGACAGCAACTCTGTTTTAGCCATCTCATTTTCTTGTTGTAAAGATGATATCTTTGCTTCCAGTGATCTACTTGTACGGAGGTGAGTTTCATTGGACGTATGCAACTAATAATAAAAACACATTCATCAGTCTCCAGTAATAGCTAAGAACAAACAAGGACAAGGCGACTATACTGTTATTCGTATGTTATTATAAAGTAATATTATATCTGAATAGCCATATCACCTCAGCTTAAAGAATCAGTAAAAGTGAGTTTATCATCAAACTAAGTTTTGATAATGCAGTAAGCAGCAAATGCATTTTTAGCACTTCTATTTGAGATGAGCTTGTCAAAGAGAAAATGTGGTATACTGGTAGTTCATTATTTCCTAAAATAATAACATGTGTTGCAATGGCACAACCTCATTGGTCGATTGCGCCATTCATTAACATAAAATTTCTGTCATTTTGAATATGATCTGTAAAATTTTATGGTCAGATTACTGTAAATTGTCTAATTTAGGCATCAGGAGAGAGTGAAAGTGATTTTAATGTAATATGCAATAATTTTAATTTTGTTGGTAAATGAAAAGTATGTATGTAAGTCTGTAGAATTTTCAAATAAAACAAACACGAATGCATTGCTTAGATCACGGTAGCACAATCCGGTCATGCTGTGTTTCACAAGTGAATATATTATATATTATCAGAGGTACATTACTTGGGGTTTGCAACTCGCATAGTACTGTATGGTGACATCATGTCAAGATCCCATTCAAGTCTCTTCTCGTAGATAGCGAGACTGAGGCTACGACCTTCTGACATGACGCATATCAATGTTCAAGGTTTGTAATGAAAAAAATAAATTTTTCTTGTCACTATCATAGTGAAAAATGTAATACATCGAAAATGTACAGAAAATATAGTTCTCGTAATACGTCATATCGTGGGCAGCTATTTTGATCCACCTGGACATCCCAGTATCCTAGTTACCTCGGGCATGCGCAATCGCATTTTTTCTGAGTTGGAACGCTCATGCGAGAGCGAGATTGTGACGGGATCTTGGTATCATGTCACCGTAGTTACAAACCCCAAGTAATGTACCTCTGATATTATATATATATATTATATATATGTGTTGTTGCTTAAATAATAGGTTTGACTGCATCTCATCTCACCCATTCTGGCACACATCCCTCTCCTATTATCACACACTAATGAGCAGCGCATCATTTATTCTCTAATGACTCTTCCCTATTTCAAAACATCAGGCAGATACATGTTACAAGCTCACGACTGAAAGAACATCAATTGAATGCATTTAAATCTGACATTGCAAGTGTCAACTGCAGTTGAGAATAAGTTTACACATGCATGTATGAAATAACAATGTACATAGACAGTGATCACCAGCAAGTTTCCAATATTAGACATAACTGTACATTATTATACATCTGTCATCGTAACGCCATAAGTTACAGCATGCCGTAATTTTGCGGTATTTTACAGGGTATTTTCAATCATCCTACGTGCGTAAGTGTTTACTAATAATAAAAACAAACATGGCTGCCACCAGCCTTTGATCAGACTCCACACAAAGAAGTTCGCTGATTCTGTTCTAAACATTTTGGATTTCGGCATTCCCACGACTTATCCTTGGAAGGAAAAGATGTAAAATAATAAGGTTATTACGAGGA